AGGAAATGACCACCTGCCAAAGCTTTGCATTCTCTACACCCCCATGTGACAAATGTAGCCTGACTATGGGATAAGTAAATTCGCGCTTGGGTGAAAAACGGATCGACGGAGGCAACATTCAACACAGGGGGGATTATCTGGTCCCCACTTTCTGGGTTGACGCTTGTTAATGGGTCCCCAGCCCCCTAAAACAACAAGGGACAAAGGATGGAATCCACTGAACCACTGGGCCTTTTTTTTAAACAGTCCCCCAAACGGCTGGTGTCCTGTAGATTTCCTTAAGGTGTCCTTCGGATGTCGCCGAGCAACTGGGTTCACACGCCATCCATCCAACATGGGGCGCAGGTCTTCCATGCACATCGAGCCTTGTAGGCGGAAAGCGACTGGATCATCGTGGTGCCCTGCACAAGTCAAAACAGGAGACCCATGAGACCCCTCAAATGCAGGGTTCCCTGTTGTTTCCATGTTAAAAACAAAACTCTATCCCTAAACGGGTGTCAAATTACCACAGCCGCGCACACCGGGACACACCGGGACACACGGGGACACACCGGGACACACCGGGACACACCGGGACACACCGGCACGCACGCGAGAAAAACGCGCACATACACACACACATCCACACATCCACTCATCCACACATCCATACATCCACACATCCACACATCCACACCCAGAGCCAAACAAACACACAAACACACAGACACACACAGACACACACAAGCAGACAGACACACAAACACACAGACACACAGACACACAGACACACAGACACACAGACACACAGACACACAGACACACAGACACAGACACACAGACACACAGACACAGACACAAACGCAAACGCAAACACACACACACAAGCAAACAAACAAACAAACAAACAAACAAACAAACAAACAAACACATAAACACACAAACAAACAAGCAAGCAAAACAATCAATCAAGCAAGCAAGCAAACAAACAAAAAAACAAGCAGGCAAGCACACAAACACACAAACACACACACACAAAAACAAACAAACACACATAACACAAACACACAAACCAGCAAACAACCAACCAAACAAGCAAACAAACAAGCAAGCAAGCAAACAAACAACCAAACAAACAAGCAAACAAATAAACAAACAAACAAACAAACAAACAAACAAACAAACACACAAAGCCACAAACCCACAAACACGCAAACAAACAATCACAAACACAAACACACAGACACCAAACACATACACACACACCCACACCGACACACCCATGCAGCAGGCACGCATGCACGCACCCCCCCCCACACACACACACACACACACACACACACACACACACACACACACACACACACACACACACACACACACACACACACACACACACACACACACACACACACACACACACACACACACACACACACACACACACACACACACACACACACACACACACACACACACACACACACACACACACACACGCACACACACACACACACACACGCACGCACGCACACACACACACACACACACACACACACACACACACACACACACACTGCACACACCCACACTCTTTAGACTGGAATCCCTTCAACTCCATTGATGATAATTCGCCATTGGCTGGTTGTGAAACCATTTTTGAGACACCTGCCTCGCACAAACAGCTTCCGTTAAGCCAGGGAGTAGTCTGTTGTACACTGTCCAAGCTCCAGCTTGGTCGCAGAAAGAAGAAGCAGTCAACCAAAAGCAGGACCGAAATCGTGGGATGTTCCATCTGCACAACACACTGTGAGACATCATCTACACCTACTAAAGTGGTTCGCCCACATCACAAGGTCGGCATCTGTGGTTGGGACTATCCTTTGCCAACCTTCACTTGCCCGGGCTTTGACTCTGGCAGTGGGCTGAGAGTGCTGTTTGATCGTTTTTTTGAGCGTCAGCGCAGGGATGCTCACTCATCCAAATCGCTTCCATGAGGGTGTGAAACACAAGGACACAGTTTGAAACTGGCTAAAGAAGGCTTCACAAACAAGTTCCCTAGCCCAACTCAGCCACAATGAGCATTTACGTATACAACCCGTTTAGGTCCACTGGAGCCAGGAACGCAGGCACATGGCATCCCATGGCCCAATTAGCAGAATGGGCTGGTCAGAAGAAAATCGACACAGCAGTCAGAAGTGCGAAGCGCAACGTTAGTCTCTTTCACAGCAACACCAGTCACAGGAAACGTCACCAGAAAATCGAGCCCGGCCAGGTGAGCAACGTTTCTCAATGTCTAGCTCTACCAACATGCTGACTTTGAACACTCAGCCATTCCACATTGACGAACTCAATCCATGATTAGAGTTAGGCCCAATTATAGAATGTATATTCTATTGTTTGCTTCACTTCGAGTCACTGGTAAAATGTAAAATGTATCCTAAGTCTACCCCAGAATCTGCTGCATTCGCCGCAACTAGTTCTTGACGCTGGAACTTGAGTCGATGCATGAAACTTCCGGCCGGGCACACGCCTCCGTTGGATCATTGGCTTGAGCGGCACCTGGGGTCTTACTAAAGGGAGGGGTCCCCAAATTGCTGATTTTTTGTTCACAGAACTCCCTCAAAAAGAACGCCAAAGAAAGACGCACCTGCGCCGAATCCAGAACAAGCTTCCCTTTTGCGGTGGCTCCACAGGAAGACCTCTACGCTGTCGTCTAGATCTTAGATTCCTGATCCATCAGAAGCAAGCCGGCAACCGGCCCTGGCACCACATCACCAACAAGGTGCTGTTCCATCTTCAGACAAATAGGGAAAGTAGAGAACAGCCCTTGGTTTGGGCTGGCTGGCTGCCTGGCTGCCTGGTTTCCTGGCTTGCTCTCAGTGGCAGTTGGCCCAACAAACGGATCCGCTGGCCCTGGGGCAGGCACTCGTCTGCATCGGCCTGAGCGGCCGAACTGGCACGGAGATTTCTGACATCTCACGCTGGGGTACTGACAGATTCTGCGCGGCGCTCGCGTTCGGGCTGCTGAAGCTGGGCATTCGCTGGGGTGAGCAGGCGCCGGTGCCTCCGTAGCCCTGGCCTTGGCCCTGACCTTGCCTGGGCTCCATACGCTGAAAAGCTTGGGAAGCCTGCCATGGTGGACGTGTTACTGCCGGCTGCTGTTGCGGCTGCTGTTGCGGCTGCTGTTGCTGCTGCAGCGGCATGCTTTGCTGCTGCTGCTGCTGCTGCTGCTGCTGCTGCTGCTGCTGCTGCTGCTGCATATGTTGCTGCTGCTGCTGCTGCTGCTGCTGCTGCTGCTGCTGCTGCATATGTTGCTGCTGCTGCTGCTGCTGCTGCATATGTTGCTGTTGCATGTGTTGCTGCGGCATATGTTGCTGCGGCGGCATATGTTGCTGCGGCATTTGTTGCTGCGGCATTTGTTGCTGCGGTATTTGTTGCTGCGGCATGCCTTGCTGCGGCATTTGTTGCTGCGGCATGTTTTGCAGCACATGTTGCGGTTGCTGCAGTGGGTGCTCATCAGCTGCTCGTCCGAAGCTCTGCCCAAAGATCTGGCCATCTCCATCTCCCGGGCAGGCCCTCAGTTGTCGGTCCTCCTCGCAGGCTGGCAAAATCCCGTCGTGCAAAGTCCCAGTCTGTCAGATTCTCTCAGGAAAGTATGATACAGTAGGCGCATGCCGTCATCTGCTTGCGGAAAGCATACATGAATGAATTTGTGCAGGACTTGACTGCGCCAGCCTGAGACGCGGAAATGTGGAAGGTGTCCTGAGGCGATCGCTCAGCTCATGCCGGCCAGGGGCCTCCTCCGTGTGATCTGCCCCATGTTCACTGTCCCTCTTGCCACGAGAATGCACAAAAAGGTCAACAAACGAATGTAAAGCAACCCCACGTCAAGTCTGTTGTGAACACGCTGTAGCTTTGAACTTGATACTCCATGAAACTAGTCAGTGAGAGCAAGTCGCAATAAAGGCGGCCAACAAATACCAAGGCCACAAGGCAGTGGTGCTCTGGAGTTGAATGATATGAACCCTGGTCGCAATGGTGACTTTGACCCCCCAAAGAAGCGGCCGCCACAGACTAGTAATGCTCTCATTTGAGGCAAATGAAACGATGCCTGATTTCTGCGAAAGGAACATCACCGGTTTCTGGAAAGCATCTGCCAACTCAATGGACTCATCCGACTTCTTTGAGGTTGCTACCATCAAACGGTAGAAATGGTCAGACCCTTTGTCAGATAGCATCTATTTAGGAGAAGCCATCCAAGTGCGCGCACTAACTATGATAGACCAGACTAGATCCAACTCAACGATTGGCAAGTTCTCAAGAGGAAAGCAATCCATGGTGGAGCAAATACAAGCAATGATCCGGGATCATGATTTGCACATTGCAATCACACACCACCACTCATGCAAGGCCAACCACTGCAGTTTAGTGATTGAGTAAAACGATTAGTTGGACTGTTGGTGGCAAACTCCTTTGGCCCTCAGAATAGAAGCGGCCATGGTCGGGCAAATGTTCCCGTGACGTGTTCCGAATAAGGTGGGAAACTCATCAATCGCACCCGCTGCTTGCCGGTTTCATGTTGGCTGCCCTGAGAAGGGGGACTAACAACCTCAATCTCCTCTGCAGATTGACATGGAACCCCAACAACAGGAGCCTGAAGACCCCCCCCTCTTTGGGTTGCATGGACACTTGGCGTAAGGCATTCTTGCCAGCCCTCAGATCTTTTGTTGGAGCCGCGGTGAAAGCTGCGCCTCCCCAAACTTCCCGAACTGCTGCTGGTACAGGTTCACAGCATCGCCTGAAAGCCCCGAAGTTTCGAGCTGAAGTTTAGCTGTGCGAAGATGCTAGCACCCGCAAACTGCTTCGGCAAGTGCCTGGTGAGTGGAACTGCTGCACTCAAAGCCAGTGGAAGATTGCCATGCCAATGCTTGACCTGAATTGCGTGCATAAAACATAGCTGTGAGGTGGTGAACGACACATTGAGCAGTGGCACGACGTACCCTTAGGTGGAAAATATTCTGCGCACCCGGATGACAGCACCTGAACCAAGGTGAACAACAATATGGCCCTGTTAGGCCCCATCAAGCAAGAGGTTTCGGGGAGTTGGGGCCGTGCATCTAGCTGCCAACCAACCTTTGCGTCAGAGCTGCGACGTCCAACTGTGCCATGTTTGATAGGCCAATGACCGATGCCCCCTCGTTGCTGCATCTTTCGCCATTTCCAAGCTCCCATTTCAGCGTGTCTTGTCTGAAGGCTACCCATGTTTCCTTGATTTCAAGTGGAAACCGAAAGGACCGCCACCATTTTAGGGGTCTCGAGAATAAGAAAGCCCCTGAAATTGGCCGCAGTTCGGTGGACCCGGCGTCTCAAGGACCCCTTGTGATGCACGTGAACACATGACCAGGAACAAATGCCAGCATCTTCAGCTGAAACGATCTTATAGCTATCTCGTCTGCCCCTAAGTTAGCAGTAAGCTTATTCTTGGGATGCATCGGGAGCTGATGCAACCGCCGAGTTTTGGTTTAGGCCTTTGCAAGGTAGCCCTGCGAAACGCCTTCCAGCTCACTTGGGCCCCTCGCGTGCGCCCGGCCTGACATTGAAGCATGCACAAGTGGGAAGCTTCTCACACTGAGACGCCAACTTTCGCCGCCACCATCTGACTTGCCCGCACGCCGAGCCCGGAAAATCGCTGAGATCACAGTGGGTTCTTTGGTGCCAGTGGGCCCCATGGGACACGCAAGAAGTCCAACTCTGAACCCCATGGAGTCAACGCAAACCTGGTGTGGGGAAGGCTTGAAGAACCAGACCCCCCCAAAAACACCTCGTTGGGGTTGCGCCCAGCCGATTTCTACGGGAAGAACGGACGGCACCTGTTGTTGTGAATTTGATTTCTATTGGAATCCGCTTCCTCAAAAAGGAAAGGCTGGAATCCACGCAACTGGGGCATGGCAAGTTCATGCATGTTGATTCCTGACGTGTCAGCTGGGCCTGGCTTACGATTTGGGAGAATCCCCACTCGCGACATCCAAAACCTCCAGGCTTTAGAGACGCCTTGGCAAAATTGGCTCGAATGTGGCCTGAAAACGGGAAAAATTGCATGTTGAATGGTGTTGGGTGGAAGCCACAACTAGTTTGACTAGCGCCAACACGGCAGGGCGTGCACTGCTGACACGATGAATTCCATACATGCAAGTAGGGAAAAAAGGAAACCCAGCAAGTTCCCATGTTCTGTGGTTGATTTACTTTCAATATCTAGGGCATCCAGCGATTCAGCAGCGCATCGGGGTCCCTTGGCTGCAATGCTAGGGCCGCCGGCAGGTTGCGGAGCGGTGTGGGCGCCTTGGACGGCTTGATTGCTGAGGACATGGGCTTCAACCCGAACTCTCAACGCAACACGGACCCCTATGAATCAACCAGTGGTTGGTTAACATTCAAGGGAAACAAAGAAAAAAACACCACCTGCTTTGTTCTTTTGGGGGGGATTCCCTACTTAATTCAGTCGGCCACAAGGAGGAAGCAGTGCAAGTATGACAGGGCTTTTAATGTTGACCCAGGATTAAGAAAAAACCGTGCCATTCTTAGCGATTATTAGGGAGGTGTTCCCTCCAAAAGTGGTCTGAATCCCCACCAAAAGGGGACACCCCACGATCAAAATCAACCAGGGGTTTATTAATCCGGGGTTAACATTGCCAGGAATTGAACTCGACTCCTTTCACCGGGGTCTCTTCTCTAATCATTACAACAAGGATTTCAACTCGATTCTTTTCATTGTCTTTTCTCTGATCATTACCACACAAAGTGAAGAAAGGACAAGTTGCGAAGCATTGAGCGGCCATGCACGGTAAATGCAAAAAAGCGACTGCAATCCAAGGACTTGAAGAATACTCTGCATCCTCTGGGACGGTCTTTAAGGCGATCCGTCCACAAATGTTGGATCCCTCGGTTTTGATATGTCGCTCCCTGGTTGGGATGCCTTTGGCACACGGGTAAGCTGTAGCTGGAGATCAATGCGGGCGGATATCAAACTGCTTTTCAGACCCTTCAACTGAGACAGAGACATGCCGGCTAAATAAGAGACATGTGCAAAAGCTATACTATTGCGCCTGAATCCAGGGGATTCAAGTTCGGGAACCATTTGACCCAAAGCATCACTTGTGTTCTTGCGAGACAGGCAAGAACGTAACCAATGCGTTGGCTGATGCCTGTCAAATGACAGAAACGAAAGTTCTAGGGAGCAAAGCTTGCTTGTTGCAGCCTGCGCAGTGACGATATGATGCGGGTTCTTGGCCGATGAGATGGTCCTCAACGCCAAGCACGCATTGACGTTCTGTTGCATTTGCCATCAAGAGCATTGCCCCCAGCCAAAGCCATGGGGTGTGGGGAAACTTGCTGTTCTGGGGAAACATCCAAATTCCCAAACCTGAAAACAGGAATCTCCAAGCAAAAGACCTGATCGCTCGTTCTACTTCTTTCCAGCTTTTCCTGGATGCAAGTTCAGATCCAAATGTGGGAGACTCTCCATTAATACATCTCGGCAACAACACCCATAGTGCCCAAACAGGCAACACCTGTTTTTTTTCCGGATTTTCATATTTAGTCAACCTTAAACTAAATCAAGCAATATGAGACACCCTAGGTATGGAATCCCGTACATGGGTGTGCGCCCACATGCAGTCTGGGGTACACAAATAGTCTTGTATCATGTTATGTTTCATGTTCTGTTTAGTATACTACCCTCTCTGAAATATTTTTGGGGGGAGAGCCTGGGATATGTTGTGTGACCATCAAAGTAATTTCGCCCGAACAAGGGGTCCCAGAAAATTTTGTTGCAGCTATCAATTTTGCAGGGCAGGCCTTCCTCAACCCTACATAATGTGCGTTTGGGACATGGGCTTTAGGAAACTCCCCCACCGACATTTTGGTCCCTCTAAGTCGTTCTGGAGATCTCAAATACATGGGCAAATTACTTCTAGCTCCCATACTGAAAAATGGCTGTGGGTCAGAAAATAGGTACCCAAAATGGAACCCTGGTAAATGGACACACGGACTAAAATCTGCGGTCCCCTGGTGGTTCAATATTGACCCACACCCAGATGAGGAATCCCAGAGGCTTCTTGTAAAACTCGCCATACCCGACCGGTTCCCGTCGTTCTGTTTTCAGCCCCGGACCACCTGCAGCTGCTGCGGTGCTGACCTAGTGATTCGCGCCAGCGACTCGGGAACCCGCTGCTTTTCCGGTTGTGCCCCAAGTTGGACCCAAATTTAGAGGCTGATTCAGGACTTAGTTGAAAAAATGGATTAAACTAGTGGGCAGAGAGGCCCCCTACCCCCACGAAAGGAGATCAGAGCCCGAATAATTTGCTCTAAGGTTGCTAAAGCCCTCGGTTGGGGTGGGGGGGTGGGGCGGGGACCATGAGAAGGCTTCGGCAAATTATGTTAGCAGGCGGTCTGCATCCCTGAAGCAAACAAGTTGAATGACAGTGATAAACCACCACTTTACACCGGCATCTCAGTTTGAGGTTTTGCATCGTCTGCTTACGCATAAGTTGCTGAAGGGCTAATGATATGCTAATGCTCAGTCAAAGTTCGGAGAAATCGACCCTCTTGGCATGGAAACATGGGAACAGCAAACCATATATAAGCGGGAAGCCATGAAACAAGTTCCGCTTCACCGTTGGAACCTTTTGCGCAAGTGGCAGTAGCTTTTCTCAACCCCAGATGCTAAGTTTCAACGCGGCACGCTCTCTACCTGGTACCCCAACTTCTTTCTGTGGGTCCGCGCTGAAATTGGCTGGCGTGCAAAATGAGCTAGTTGAATGCGTGGAAGCCCTGAACCAAGCACCACATCTTGGCGCTGTGTTGTCAAAGTGGGGATGAACAAGCCACTCACCCAAACACAGGAATATGCCGTGTCAACACGCGCAGATTGAAATGGGAGGTGGTTCCATGGTGGCTGCGGAGTCCGTCCGTCCCAAGCAAGCTCACAAGTCTTGACATGTTTCGCATTCGCGTCGAAAAGACAGGCGGACGAGGGCGGCAGGCAGGCCTGAAGGATTGAAGGTGTACGGGCTGCCTAATAGGGCTGGATTTGAGCACGGGGGGGAACTACCTGTTTTCAAATTGGTTTAGTACGGGCTATTCTAAAAGTAGTCTTCCCGGATTTGGGGTTTTCAAAAATCGGTTTTAGTATTTGGGGACTGTTTAGCATTAGTAAGAAGGGATTAGTTTCACTGCTTGCAGAACTACAAACCTGCTGTTTGCCCTTGGTCGTGAAAGCGATGCAGGAGTAAGTCTTCCCTCTGCTAAGTCATGCGTACCCCATCCAAGGAAATCAACTGGTTGGCTTTCCATCTTGACGCCACACAACATGATCCAATGAACTAGGAGTTCGTAGGTGTTTACCCTTCCTCCCACAAACATAGCATCTGGAGGGTACCTGGAAGATTAGGGCTCCTCTGTGAGGTGCAGTGCTAGTGGGAGTTGCTTTCTGGGTCCATACATCTTGGTTGCTGTTGACCCCCCTGCACAAAGTTTGACTTTTTGGGGGTTTAGTGGAAAACACCTTTATTTCCCCAAAAGTTCAAGTCCAAAGATCCAACCCGATAGCAGTAAAGACATTGTAAAAGCCTTTGGCAGCTTTGGAACCCCGTCCAACGCGTTGGCGCAAGCCCCGCGCGTCGAAAACATCACGCTCTCGCGGGCCGGCCTAAGCAATTGGCGCGTGAACGGTGCCCCCTTCTGCCAACTACACACATACTGCAATTACAACTTCAGATCATGAGTGCGGGGGGACAGATGGATGGTTGCTGCGTCGGTTCTTGAGACAGGTTCCAGAAATGGAACATCAGGGGTGGATGTGCCAAATAGATCCAAGTCGGCCGGAGAAACATCCTCCTCCGTGGGGAATCTCTCCAGACCAGATACTAAAAACGCACAGAGCTCAACTCGCAAGCCACGGGCAGCTGAGGAAGATGCCGGGACCCCAAGTTCGAAGGTTTGATTCCAATTCCATTCTCTTCACCAATCCTTCTCTTTGGAAACCACCCATTTTCCAGGGTGTTGGCCCATTCTTTGAAGATAATGATGCCTGAAGATAATGGGGATTGTACAGCTAGACAAGTCGTGTGGCAACTCAACTAGCCTACTCATTGGGGGCTTCTTTTCGTGGGAAACGTGATACCGTTGCGCGGGAGTCATCTGTGCAACTTGGCATAGCAAAATGAGCTTGGTGCATTGGCATGGCGAGGGATCCTTTCCCAGCAGTACTTGTTTTGGCAATCATCGCCGACTTGAGTTGAAAAAGGCATCAGCAAAGAAAAGCAAAGGTGGCACATAATAGACAACTTGAAATTAAGGGCTAGCCAAGATTGCACACAACACCATGATCAGTGCCAAGCACAGGAAGGTGCACCGAACAGAAACGGAGAAATCTTAATCTATCCCTAATTAATCCTTGGCCACTGGGGCAACAACCAATTTGTCTTCAGGCTTTGTTTCACAGGGCAAATGTATGAACGTGGTTACACATGGGAGGTTCACAACCAAAGGCACCCAAACGAAAGTTCCAGTCACTCTGCACATCTTGGCCTCTCTGCGGCTCTCGCTCCATATCTGGGATGGGATTGCCGATCACCCCGTTGTGGTGCCTGCAAAAAGCAGGCCAACATGTGGCTGTCCCAGCTTTTGTGTGAAACGAGTCCTTTCCCAACTGAAAACAGGATTGGACTGCACCCCAACGAGCTGTATGCCTCATGTTGAACATCGCTAAGTTGTGAACATATTCAAGTGCAGCACTTGCAATTGTGACTGCCTCCGTAGAGCGACAGTTGCCACCTTCTGTAGGTGTTGGCCGCGCTGGAGCAGCCACACCGTCCCCTTGAGAGAACCCATGTGCTAGCAAATCATGCTGCAGTGGCAAAAGCAAAAGCCAAAGCTAAACAGCCTGTAAACAACTGTTTCATCGCACTGAATTGAACTTATGAGTCAGTTAGCCAGCCAATCAGCCAGCCAACTAGGCAACCAATCAGCCAATCAAGCAAATTACAATTCCATCAATCCCGCCAATCCCATCAATCATGGCAGAATGACAATCCAATCCCCTCAATCCCACCAATCACGGGATTTTCCACTCTCACCAATCCCACCAATTTATCAATAATATCAAATACTATCAGAGTCTAAGCAAGCAATTCAAGATTCAAATCCTACAGTATCGCCATCATTCTATCGCCAGCTGTTCCGTGACCCTGGTAGAAAAAAGAAAACAACTACGAACCTTTCTCGGGTCTGGGGCCGCACTAAACGGTGGGGAAGCCACCAAACCAAAAGGGGGGGAAGAGCGCATGTTGCCATTGAAGAACTGGGGCCCAAGTTCTTCAGACCACGCTTGAGGCCGGCGCCCGCAATGGCTGATGGTAGCATTCTGTAGCATGAAAACATCCTGGCGCACGGGCGAGAGTTGGTGACATCCAGGGTTGGGCAAAACTAGTAAACTGGTCCATTGTAGTCGGAGAAACAAAAAAAACAACGAGGTCGTTTCAACAATGGTTAATTCAAAGATGTTCCCTCAACAGCCCGTCCAAGCGACAAAGGCTGCCAGGGTGTTGGGAAAACCTTGGAGGAAAGAACAGGGCAGCGGTGGAAGGATCTTCAAGCGTTCCACGACTCCGTGACTTGGAGCTTCCACCAGCTCAGGTTGGAGGCAGTTTTGGGTTGCAGGGAGAGGGTGTTCCACTATGTTCAGTTCAGGTAGTGGCAGCTTTGCTCGAGCCCGGGCGAAAATGCTTCGAGAGGTTGGCCAAACCCTGCATGTTGACATCGAATCGGAGCATAGCACGCGGTAAGTGCCGGGTTCAAACCAAATTTGCAACCGATTGGGCCCGCAAAGCAGAGAAATCGAATCGCTTCTTATTCCTTGGATTGGGCTAGGAAGTGGGAAGCATCGCTGAGGGTGCCTGCACTCCACCAACTTGCGGGGGCAGTTCGACTCAACTGATCTTCCGGTCCCGGGACCGCACTTGTCAGATTCCATGGTGGGTGGGTGTGTGGGTGTGTGTGTGTGTGTGGGTGGGTGGGTGGGTGGGTGGGAGGGGTGGAAGGGGTGGAAGGGGTGGAGGGGTGGAGGGGTGGAGGGGTGGAGGGGTGGGGTGGGCGGGCGGGCGGCCGCCTTGTAAGCATGGTTGTAACTTGCTTGCCAAGTGGGTTGAGCCAATTGTTTTGGTTGTATGCATCCCTTTAGGACACCCTAACTTCAATATCATGCAACTAGATGTCCAGCAATTCTCGGCAGCGTCTAGTGCAGTCCTGGATTTTAATCTGATTAACCTTAGGGCCTTGAACGTAGGCTCAAGGTCAATCATCCTTATTCGCTGATGCCTGCCTCGATGGTTGCAAGCAATAACACTCTGTCACCAAACCTGCTATGCCATATCATCTGCTTTCCTCGGCACGGTTTCGCTGCCCGAATGTGTATAAGTGTTGCAAACGTTAGCGAACATATAATCTGTCAACATGTTATTCCAATGGCGATTGAACGACTTCAGAAGTCCTGAAAACAAATCAACCTCTCTGTAAAACTGGCCCCTCGTCGCTCTGCAGCACGGCCCAAACGCACACAACACCTAGACCAGCCAAAACATCTCATGGTTATACTGCGCGCGCTTTGGCGATCCAACTGGAACCAACTTCCCAAGCCACGTCTGTGGGGCTTGGATGATTTTAATTGGACCCTCAAACCAGAATAGGGCACGTGAGTCCGGAGCCTGGTGCCACTGCACCTGCCAGTCATTGAGCTGAACCAAGTCGTGCTCTATCACCTGAGAGGGGCCCCCTCTCGGGAAACTCATTTGAACTTGACCCAGGTAATGCTAAGAATCACCTCACAGGGTGACCACACGATGACCCATTGCATCATGCGAACACAGAACTAAACAATCGCAAACAGTTTGTCTTTGGTTGATTCCTACAGGTTGGCAAACACAACGTAGGTGATGTATAAAAAGGGAAGATCTCATTGGCGCAAGCTTCCATGCTCGAGGGCAAGCTTGGCATTTCAAGTTCAAGTCCTCGATGGGCTTGGTAGACGACAACCACTCCCACTAGACGAAATGGGTGCAATTGAACAGACGCAAATAGAACCCACTGATTACATGTGAGCAGCGCCATCGTCAAACTTCATGCGAATAACTGTCTTCGCCTGACCTTCAACTCAAAACAAAAGGCCAGGCGGGACTCTTCAAAGGCGGACCAAACACCTATTGACGTTTGGTTTCTACAAATATGATGAAGGGCTAAAAAAGGCTTTACTATGATCCCTATTCAACTAGGTAGTAGAACCACCAAAAATGGCCAATACAAAGGGGTTTGGGAGACGGAGGGGCTGGAGTTTTCTTGGAAACAGATCAAATTCAAATAATCCCATCACTGCCTGAAGGTGTAAGTGGAGCTGAACCCTGCTCTTTTCACATGGGTGTTTCCTAGCTGGGAATCCATATCTGGATGGCGGTTCAACCAAAAAACAGGAACCGAAAGAAAGGCAAAGGGAAACCAACCATTTTGTGTTGCCTTTGCTTCAAACACCTAGAATGTTCTTCCTCTTTGCCAAAAAACGTGACACCATTGCCATGAATACTGTGGATGGACAAAGTTCACATTGCAGCAGTTGGCATCCAAACCTCGTAAATACAGGTCGACAAACTTGCGAGGTGGATTGCTCCCATTCTCAAAATCAGAAAATCCCGGGACGCCCCCCACCCGAAAAACACCAAACAAAAAGTTGCCTGCCTCCCTATGGTTTCCCTTCAAAAAGGGTGCCCTTGGACGGGCACCTCAAACCAAAACAAAACAAAACCATAACCCAAAGACACGGTCCGAGCGCCCGTGCGGCAGACTCCCGCGGTACAGAGGCCTCGATACTCGCCAGACCCCCAGGTAAGCAAGCTCCATGTGTTTCTGTTTTTAAACGACAAAAAGACACGCCATGAAGTGTGTTTGTTTTTGTTGTTTGTAACATTTGCACGGATTCGTTTGTCTCATTACGGCTTTTGACCACTTTCACAGTAACAAGTCGTTCTGTGTGGATTGTTACCAACAGCTTGTGCCAAATGGCACCCCAACGAATTCCTGAGTCTAAAACATTGGCAAAGTTTGAAAGCCACTGACCAAAAAGCAGCGCTGACAATTTCTTGGGGGCTCTGAGCAATCTGGGCTCCTGGTCAGTTCAACAAGAGAAACAAAGGGCACCACCAGCCCACACTTTTGTGCCATCTACGAGCAAACCCATTCAGGGTGGTCTTTTTTAATCTTTTTGTGGGACCAGTTGGGCACACCTCCACGAGGTGTGCAAAGACTTTTAGGCATTACATTTGTCCAAGGCAGTTTGACAAGGACCAATCCCTCAGCGCTTTTATTGGTTATGATTGTCAGGTGCCCCCCCAAAGGACACAGAACGAGGTGCAGCTACCTGTGCGAATCATTGGCTATGCGTAGAGGCCCCCCTGCAACACGATGAATCTCCAAGTTTAGTCTCACCTGCGTGACCTGCGTGACCTGCGTGACCTGTGTGTGTGTGCGCGCATGTTGCATGTTCCCGTGCCTATCTCTGTAGGTGTCTATGTCTCTGTGCCTTCTTTTATGCGTGCGCGTCTCAGTTTTAATCCCGCGCATCTAGGAGAGCGTTCCCAGACTGCGAGCAGTTCCGAGCTGCCACGGCGATGTGCTGGGAGTCCGAAAGGCTCAACAGCCTCGGGCAAAGTTTTGAATGCGACTGAAAAGATACCCACAGGAAACTGATGGTACCTGGAGGGGTTTGACTAGCTAATTGTCATTGGACTCAGTGCTTCGCACAAGGGAACACCATATTCATACAAGAATCAAAGGCTCCAAGAACGTCTGACACCAATACAGTGACAGAAAGCTGGCTTCACTTCCCAAGAAAACTTCCCCAAGAGCCAATGACCAAATCATGGCCACCCCAATGTAGTTAGAACCGGCATTGAAAGTGATAGGGTTTGCAGTCCAAGTGATTGCAGCATAGCGATGCTCCAAGACATGTAGATCTGGAGAAACAAATTCTGGCTAGCGCTGACCTGATGCTGATCTAGTTAATTGAAGAAATGCTTTTGCGCCCAAAAGCCCTTCAAAATGTTTTCCAAACGCGTAATATCCATTTCACTTCAGGAAAATCGTCCGAACTTCAAAAGCTAGCCCCAGGGACGACCTGAAGATGACAATGACAAACCTTGACCTCTAGCGGATTTCATTGCAAAGACCACCTTTGTCTGCGCAGTTTCATGGGGCATCTCCTCCAAGACATGGATAAAAGGGAAGCAACCAACAAATAATAATAATCATAATGATAACGATCACAATACTCATAATAATAAAACACAAAACACAACAACAAGTGCACACCAAAAGCAGACCGGACCGGTTTTAGAGGCGCAGGTCTGGATAGCTACCAACCCCGCCGCGAGCCCAGCAGGGCGTTGGGAGCGTCGTCCAATGCCACCACCTGGCTGCATGGATCTCCCATGAAGCAATGTGCGTTTTTGGAGTTCGTACCCTTTTTACCTGGCTTCACTTCGGGGAACCCAAAAGGAAACCAGAAGGAACCCCTCCACTTTGGAGTGCCACTCTATTTTGACTCTTGACGCAGCCTAGGGTGCAGGATCAACTGTTCGTACTGCAAAGTTGGCCTTTTCCAGCCTGACACCATTTGGCTGACTGCAAGTTTCAAGTTCGTCAAAGAAGGGCCTTATTCTTCGACCACCCTTCGGACCTGAGTTACCCACAAATACAACTGCTCACCATCAATGACAGGTTTGGCAATTTGTCAACACGAATTGATTTCCTTTGAGTTGTGTAGTTCTTGTAGTTCCTGTGAGCGGCATAAACGCATACAACTTTTGACCATATGTAGATCTGTGAAGGTATAAATAGGACCGTATAGTCGAGCTGTGCAGCACAACGCGTTCATAATTTCAACATGAGTACTCTGCAGCACCTAATTCCCAATCGGCGTCAAGCGTTTAGCATGGTGGTGTTTAATGACTCTGCTTGGATCCGGCTAGCTATCGTGTAAACGTAGATGAGAGCGGAACGAGACGAGAAGAGAAATGAAAAAACAACAAGGCTCTCGTGAAAAAGAAGATGAGAGCGAGCAGAGAAGAGAAAGGAAGAAAAACAAGAGAGGCCAAACGAGGTGGTGACAGGTGTTCAGATTGCGTGACACATGCCGCACTTTGGGATAGACCGTGCTCAACGTGAGCGCCCTGTGCGCGTTTTGCCTCTTCCGTGGAAACGCAAACCACCTCTGACACCTGGTTGGAACGGCCCATTGGCACGGATCTGCGCACTTTTCGCGACACGAGGTTGCGAGACTTGCGCGCAACCAAAGATTGCGCGGGAGCAACGTTGGATGTGTCAAACAGGTCGCACTTGGGTCACGCAACTGGTTTCACACGCATGATCAGCTGGCATCCTGCGTCAACAATGATTGCGCCTCCATCATATGCGCGACGGTCGAAACACACTACATGGCTGGCTGCCATCGCTGGCACGGGCGTCGCTCTTCAAGCCCCCTGTCGCTCACTACAGCGGCAGCTCATTTTCGCACCTCCAGCGCGCGCATCGCAACTTTGTAGCACAAGTCTAGTTCGCCAATTACACTTCCGCAGCTCCAGCTCGAAAACCGCAGTTGTGTGGCACAAGTCTAGTACACGAAGTCTCCAGCTCGTGAGGCGCAAATTTGTGGAGACTCTTTACAATCACACAAGCGAAGCGGGAGTAGCAACCCCCCACCAATTGATTCCGCTGGGCCTGGGCCTGCTTCCTTTTCCCACCTTCGGGCTTTGTTAGATTCGCGGCCAATGCTGCATCTTGCTGGTAGCACTCGCGCACGGCAATCACTCGCTGGCACAGCTCTGTCCAAGATGCAGTCCACATCGGTTTCCTGCATGAGGATCCAACACTGCAATCACCAACCAACAATTTGGAGTACGTGTGCAATTCTCATTGCTGTTGAACAGTCCAGCTGCATCGAAACGGCTTGAAGCTGGAAGTAGTGGCTTTCAAGCTCTTTCGCGTGAACCTGCAAGCCATCACGCTTCTGGGAAAGGACAGCGTGCGTCCGCCTTTCCAGCGCGTTAGGAAGCAAGTGCTCTTGAGCAGCGTATCGCGGTTTCTGTTTGGGGCTGGGCAAGGTCTTGGCTTCTGAGACCATGCGCTGGATGCCGCTGACCAAAACCCAGTTCTCCACGCAGCAGGCAAAGCCCCATCGGCAACTTCGTACTCGACGTCAGCTGCAGCAGGTTTATTGCTAAACGCGTGGTCAAAAGATTCGAGGTATCGTCTCGGTGCAGTGCACGTAATGCGATACGTTCGGAAATCCTTCGCAACCAAGACTTTGGAGATGCTGGGGACAGGGCTGGCGTCCAAGCCGACCAACACTACAGGTGCTTTTGGGTTGTTGGGCTTGCTCTCTGCAAAGCCTGACTGCAGCGCAGCCACCATGTCCTTGACTTCCAGCAAAGTCCTTGCGCATCTGCAAGTGTCTCTTGAGGATGCCCTTCACAGGGCCGCAAAATTGCCGATTTCGTGTGTTTCTCAGCCCCGAAGTGAATTTCAATCGGAGTCTTGTATCTGCTTGCAGTTCCACCAGGCCATGCGCCAGCGATTCCATGCTTCGGGAATGCGGTCCGCAGTTGCTCACCCATACCGGTCTTTGACATGGCTTCTTGATTTCTTCTGCCGCAAGGCCAGTCGAAGGAGCCTGCTTGCGCGTGATGCAGTGAGATCTAAGATCTGGCTTTCAATCACGAAGCAAGTTTGGGTAAGCTCAGGAAAGCCACTTCCTCTCCCCCAACACGCATGCTGGCCGCGAGGGAAATCTGAACCGTGTTTGCCACGACCTGTTGCAAGCCACGCGCCCTTCCCACGGGCAATTGCAAGTCTCCATCATGCTGGACAACATCTCTTGCCAATGTTGGATGGCCTTGCGCATGCCGAGTAGCACAGCGTTCGCTGTCCAGGTCTTGCGCAGCGCTGGCAATAATCTGTGACTGCTCGCGGCCGCTTGTATTCTGTCAAGATTTTGCGCAGAACTCGCCGGAACGTGTTGATCGACAGGGTGCCAAACACACTTTCCTCAGTCTGGTGCACTGCTGTGGGATTGTTCGTCAGGGTGTTCACGACTGTCCAAGAACCCTTCTTCTGGCACACCGAAGAAGATGACCATCCAAGGCAGCCATCTGCAAGTGGGCGACCCCGCGAATGACTGACTCCGATTCTGTTGTGTTTTTTTTTGCTCCGGCTGTCGCGCCCGATCAGCAAAGAGGCTCCATTCTTCAGGGACATCTTGTCCCAGGACGACCAATCCCGCATGCCAAATCCACCGCACGCAGGGTTTGCCATACGTACTGCATTGAACACACAGAGACGTGTCCCACTATTCCTCCTTCTGACAGGCGCAGCACTTTCGCAAGGCTGGTTCGTATTCGTGGCAGGCACAGCATTGTTGCAAGGCGAAGTACAGATTTCGTGGCGGGATGCACCACTTTTGCGAGGTCAATTAAAGATTTTGCGGCAGCTGCAACACTTTCACAAGGTCATGTACAGACAGGCGCAGCACTCTCGGAACACTGATGGAGAGACATGTTGAGAGATAGAAAGATAGCTAGATCTAGATGGATGGATGGACGGACGGACGGACGGATAGATGGACAATTAAAATAGATAGATAGACAGACAGACAGACAGATAGATAAATAAAAAATAACTAGATAGATGATGGATGGATGGATGGATGGATGGATGGATGGATGGATGGATGGATGGATGGATGGATGGATGGATGGCTGGCTGGCTGGCTGGCTGGCTGGCTGGCTGGCTGGCTGGCTGGCTGGCTGGCTGGCTGGCTGGCTGGATGCATGGATGGATGGATGGATGGCTGGCTGGCTGGCTGGCTGGCTGGCTGGCTGGATGCATGGATGGATGGATGGATGGATGGCTGCATGGCTGCATGGCTGCATGGATGCATGGATGCATGGATGCATGCATGGATGGATGCATGCATGGATGGATGGATGCATGAATGCATGGATGCATGGATGCATGGATGCATGGATGCATGGATGCATGGATGCATGGATGCATGGATGCATGGATGCATGGATGGATGGATGGATGGATGGATGGATGGATGGATGGATGGATGGATGGATGGATGGATAGATTGATGAAGTAAACTAGTTAGTTAGATGGTCAGTTATTTAGTTAATTGGTTAGATAGATAACAAGGTAGATAGACAGATGGGTTGATAGATAGTTTACATTAGACTAGGTTTCGATGATTATCTTACACTAGATCATATACCACCCGAGTAGACTAGTAGGTAGCTAGATATATACATATGACAAAAGAAAGAGAAAAGTACTGATCAAGCAAAAGAGAAAAGATCAAGAGGAACACAACAATCTGATATGTGCCAAGCATTTTCTCGGCAGACGGGCATTCAGGGGAAAACACATAATACAGTAAGAAAAGCAGAAAGAGACAGAGAAAGAGAAAGGGAAAGAGAAGATAATACGAAAGATAAAGAGAAAGACAAATAAGAGAAAGGGACCGAGAACGTGAAAAAAGAAAGAAGAAAGGACTGAGACAAATAAAGAAGATAAATAAGGGTTAAGGAAACTATAAAGGGAAAGATGAAGAGAAAGAGACAGAGGCAAAGAAGGAGAGAGAAAAAAAGAACCGGACAGGGAAGAATAACGATTGTCTTCTATTTTAGAAACTTTCGACAACCGGCCCTTCCGGCTCTACTGGTTGTGTGGTATGTGTCAAAATGGGAGATCTCAAAATAGCAAATCGGTACCCTTGGAAATTCACATAATTACCCATGTCAATGTCTGCAATCATTTGACATGGCTGGCATTGGGACTTGGGGAGGTGACATCCATCTACATAGACTAGCACTTGCTGCTCCAAACCATTGAGATCAATGGATGTGAAGTCCGGCACCCACTTCAAAAGGACACCATTAGACTGAGCGTGTGGAGTGCTTCCGATTTTTGGACTGCCTCAGAACTCCACTGTCCATCAGAAAAAACGGCCCCTTTTTCGTCGGTAGCTGACTCTTTAAGGGGCTCCTCCAAACACACTGGAAGCACAGGGCTACTTAACGCCGCGTTCTGAGCTCACTCCAATATTGATTCGAGCAAGGGAGACCATCGGAATTGCCCATGACCCTATTAGTCAGACTCGTCACTAGGCAATGGCTTCCCTTGCAATCCGGCTCATGAGAGTCTTTGAAAATGGATTCCCTGGTCGGGTCGGTATTGAAAGCGAATCCAAAATTACTAGGTTCTCCAGTAGAGAGGTTAGAATAAGGGTACTCCTTTTTCTGTAGTCTATTTGAGGAAGGGAACCCTCCCAACCAAAAAAGGGGTGAGAAAGGACACCACTGGGGGACCTAAATTACATCAACAATTTTAATTGTTGGACACGTGGCCCTGCCTGCAGCACTGGCTTGAAGAGGTAGCTGGGCCCTGACACAAAATCGTGACAAGCTCAGCCGCTGAAATCCTGGGGCGACCTGCTCGTTTGCCCAATTTATGCAACCATGAATGGCCTGCTTTCTGGATAATACGTGCATATGTATTCAAATACATATCATACATGATCATCCTTTGTACACACATATGCCTACTACTATGTGCTGCCACAAAGCGAAAGCAAGGCCCTGAAGAAAAGAGCCGCCTCCACATGTGAGGTCGTTTGGGTGCTAGTACCGTTAGTGCATGCTTGAAGTCTTGCCATGCATATCCCCGGCTACGCGAGAGGCTTTGCCTACTGTGGAAAGACGAAATCCTGCACGAGTTGGGTGGCTGTCCCAGTTTTCATAGGGCTTGATCCATGCCAACTAGTGCGAAGCGAAATTTGTCCATCCACAATATGCGAGAATGAACACGACAAACTAGCGGAAAGCTCTGAAACCAGAAAGTTTCATATGCCCTACTCCCACATCAAAGCCGAGCAGAACTCACGGGCCGTGCTGGATGCAACAAGGAGGACTGTGAGCTATTTCAAGTTCATTGTTGAAGCAATTCTCCAGCATATCTATGTAGTGTGTTGGCTTGGGTGAATACTTATGGTCAGCCTTCTGTACTTTAGCGAGGTCGTTTTCCACCCGAGTGGACTTAAACACATAGTGGGCACGTTGACAAAAAAGACATTGATGCTGCACCCACATTGTCGTTGTCATCATCATTACCAGCATCACCACCATCACCGTTGCTATCACCAGCATCATCACCAGCATCATCATCAGCATCATCATCAGCATCAGCATCATCATCAGCATGATCATCAGCATCATCATCATCATCATCATCATAATGAGCAGCATCATCATAATGAGCAGCATCATCATCATCATCATCAACATAATCAGCATCGTCCTACCTAAGCACGGAATAGCCTTTTTCATAGTTTGAAGGAGCCTACCTTGCGATTCCACTGATAGCTCAACTGGGTGGTCAGAATGCCAACCCGCCAAATGCTTGACAACTTGTTGGCATTTACTTGTTTGCTTGTTCGTGGTTAACCGCTGATTGCAGTCGAGGCCTCTTTGACTATTTATCGCGAAACTGGCTGACCTATCACCTCAAGCATGGCAGTACAAGCATTTTGGGACATTGTTTAAACGAAGCCGCGTTTCTTAAACATGGACCAGTTTCAACCTGCTTGCCCTAGGCGCTGAAATTTTGCAACAACCTGGCAACAAATAGTTTAAAGTTTTCGAAACTGAAAAGGGGGCAAAACCCCGTACCCCCAGTGAACATCCCAATCCCCACTAAAATAGGTTCTAAAATGGGTGGTGCCCCTTTCCCAAAATGGTACCAAAACGGTCTTGAACCATGGCCATTTAGCCTTCGTCTTTTTGATTCCTTTCCCGGGCGCGGAATTGACCCCGAAACCGCCGTGGCCGAGGCGGCCTTCGTGGCGGAGCCTCCGCACTGCGCCCACGCTGAGCTGACCCGCGCTTGCCATGGCAAGCGAGTCGGCGGAAAAAAAAACAGGGAAAAAACAGGAGCAAACAAACACACAGCAAATCCAGGAAGGTACCGCACCAATGTAGAAAGGTGAAATGAGGTGAAGGAATAGGATCATCTGGAAATCTGTGGGCCAAACAATCCAAGGATCTTGTCAAGCAGAAAAAAAAACAGCAGGGCGGGCCGGGAAGCTAGCGCTGGTTTGGGATTTTGATGTTTATTACATTTCAGTGATACGTTCTGCGCAACCTCCGCCAGAGCTGCTTCAAGCAGAAATCATTGATTCAGTTTCAGTTTGCTTGAGATGCATTCAAATTCGCCCGACCGACACCTGAGAGCTGGTAAGCCCAGAGATGCACAGAGCGCACACGTGAATGAATAGATGCATGGACGCACAAGTTGATCCGGTCGCTGCTTGTGCTGCGTGACTACCTCCTCCTGCTGAGGATCAACAAGTAAGGCTCTGAGAAGCAGGCTGACATATGTTTGATGACTGGAGTCCGTGACTGTTTTCAGGGCGACATACTAAGCGTGTGCGTGTGTGCGTGTGTGCGTGTGTGCGTGTGTGCGTGTGTGCGTGTGTGCGTGTGTGCGTGTGTGCGTGTGTGCGTGTGTGCGTGTGTGCGTGTGTGCACGTGTGCGCGTGTGTGGGCGTGTGGGCGTGTGGGCGTGCGCGCGTGTGCGCGTGTGCGCGTGTGCGCGTGTGCGCGTTTGCGCGTGCGCGTGCGCGCGTGTGCGCGTGTGCGCGTGTGCGCGTGTGCGCGTGTGCGCGTGTGCGCGTGCGCGCCGCGCGTGCGCGCGTGCGCGTGTGTGTGTGTGTGTGTGTGTGTGTGTGTGTGTGTGTGTGTGTGTGTGTGTGTGTGTGTGTGTGTGTGTGTGTGTGTGTGTGTGCGTGTGTGCCAGCTTGTGCTTGTGTGTGTGTGTGTGTCAACATGTGCGAGCCACGGTCAAAAGACCATGTCCCAATGCCATCTGATCCCTCGGAAGCGAGTTGCCCAATGACCCGGGTAGACCCTAAGGGCACTTTTCTTTGAGACGATGCTCTAAGCAGAAGTCACCAAACAAATAGGTATGTTTTTTTCTTGAGGGTAATTGCCCCCTTTTTTGTTGGTGGTTTTGAAGGGAACCCCAAAGGAAAACAGCGGGATCCCCTAGAAAAAGAAATGGAAAAACAGGGTGCCACTGAACGGTCAACCCTGGTAGCGCAGCCTTCTTTCTAATTCGGTTGAGCTAAGCCTCTGCTCACTCCTGCGAACGAGGCACGCCCCCCCCCCCCCCTCCCCCCCGGTGAGCTACCTTTCGAAGCGAGCCACCAATTCCTTATGGAAAGAGCAAGGTGCTGCTGAACAGCGGAACTCTGGCAAAAAAAGCGGAAAGAATATCAGAATGGTGTTAGGCTAGTGGGGTAGGGTTGTGCATGGGACCTTCTGGAATGACGGAAAGGGGAAAGCAGAGGACAAGTAACATGCACTGGAAGGTTCCCTTCTGCCCCCTTCTTGAAGTCATTACTTCCAGAACTAACTGCACCAATGCCTTGGGTGCGTGCTTGAGGGATGGGGTTACTCTTGGGGACTGTTTCATGTCTGATCGGGCTTGGGTGTGTGGGAACAGTCCAATCTACGAAACATCACATTATGGTGATGTTTACGCTGCGTTGCTTTTGAGGTATTGAAAGATGAAGCCCCGTAGCCAGATTCCCGCGATCCAGACACGAGATGCAGGGCCAAACACTTTGATCTTCAGGCTTGCCAACCCAAGGAGACTCCACAAAAAGAGGTGTACCTGGAATGTAATAGAATGCCGTGGGAACTGGAAATCGCAAACAGTATAGAGTGTGACGCCAATGGGCAGAGGGACATCTTTCACCGGCCCAAGGCAGTACCAAAAGGTCCACTTAGAGCGGAGTGATCATCAGATGCGTACAACAAGCCTAACGCGACACTCCCTGCGCTTGGGGCAAGCGCACATTCCTTAGTCCCAGAGGAAGGCTTGAATGCTTTCCAGTTCCGCTCAGAATTCTATACTTGCCGGTCGTACATGAAGTGTAGCAAGAGGATCAACTGCTCCGCTGACGGTTCAGCACGAAAGTAGTTCAGGCGATGTCCAGTTATCAAGAACAAACACGATTCACTTCCTGTGACCTCGAATGGAGTTCCTACCCCAAAAGCGGGACAAAGGCAGGGTTCCATTCACCCATCAGGCAGCCCCACCAAGGCCAGCTCCTGGCTTGCAAGGAGGGGCTCGTGCGTGGGGCTGGCATTTGCGTGCGCCAGCCTCGTCACTCACCGACTCATGGCCCAGTTTTTTCCAGTGCAGTCGTGCCAAGTGGTATCTGGTTGTCCATGCAATTGTTTGTTCATTTCAGGGAGCTTGCAGGTATGTCAACCCTGGTGTCCCGCACACCAGGTGGGCCCGAAATGATGGCGGAAGCACATCTCGTGACCTCAAGTTGGGTTCTGGCCCAAGATACTCTCACGAAATCCTGCACATCCACTGTGGAAAATCCCCGTTTTTGTTTCTCCCAAAGTGATGGAATTCCATGACAACTTCCCCCCAAACCCGAGTTCGCCCCTATTCCATGTCATACATCTGGCCGAACATCTCGCGATTCGTTGCCGATGAGGACGCAGACCACACACTGGGAGGGCAAGCCCTGAAAGCCAGATTCTCTAACCGGCTTTTGCCATGAGCATGCCATGTTCGATTCTAGTCCATTGGTGAGCCTGAAATTGTACAATCATCTCAAACAAAAATCTCAGAATAGAATAAGCTTCTTCCAAGATGGTGGTACCCCCAAACTTTCCTCTCAAGCTCATTTCTCAACCACTTACACTACCTCCTCATTTAACAAAGTGCGAAAACAACTCCATACATAAATCAATCCATGGAGTTGCATACATAATACATCCACTCCATATTACATTAACAAAATACATTATTCGAGTAATACAATCATAACTTCTATTAACTTCTCCAATCTTTTTTGTGAAAAAACCATCCATTGACCCGAACATTTCTACACGGCCTTTTTTTGCGTTCCGTTCCCAAGCTGCCAGGGCTCCCCGACGGCTCAAGCTCTTCCTCCCCGGTGGCGTCCGCCAGCTGCGCCCTCGGAAAGCGACATGGCTGTGGGACATGGCCGGGGGTCAACACCGTTTTGGGATCCCACTTTGGTGGGTAGGTGAATTCACCACGCATTTTTTAGGCTTTATTTTAGTGATTGGGTCCCGTTCACTGGGGGTACGATTTGGGTTTTGACCCATAGCCACATGACAACTTCTGTGATATAACAAAAAGGGCCTCCCAAGGACTAACCCCTTGTTCATATAAAGCGGGGATTCCCTTGTATCACAGAAGCGGGGATAAACCCCTTGATCCCACAAACCTGCGCAACAACCGGTACAACACAAGCCGGTGCCTTGAATCACCCTTGTCTACAAAACCAGTGAAGGCTGAGCCTCTCTCCTGAAAAGTGCCCGGTGAAGAGTTCCTTGCCACAAATACAGAAGCCCAAGTTTATCAAACAAAAGGGGAGATCGTGTCGCTTTGGGAAGCTACTCTCCAGAACTTACCGGTATATGACAAATAACTCAGCAGACCGTTTTGTACTAGTACCACCTCACAATTCGCAAGGACAACCTTATCATTAAACGTGAGCCGTGAGCCGCAACTTTTGGGCATTTTTGCGGAACACCGCCCATCAGATACGCTTGGAGCCCAGGTTCTTTCCAGTCGCAACTCTTCCAGTTGACTGAGGCTCAGGCACTCTGACCTTGGAAGAGGAGGCACCGATGCCCGCACATAGCATGCCTCTGGGTGGGCGACTGGGTTTTTTGGTTGGTGAACTGAGACATACAGTTTCAGGCCTCCACCATTATGTATATATATAAATATACGTACATATATACACACACATATATATATATATAGATAGATACATATGAAACGTAGAGATACTTATAATATAAGTATACATATATATATATATATATATATTGCAGAGCTTCTTTATGGCTTGTAGAAGTGTCCAGCACGGCCACGCGCACTCAAAATGGTCAGCACTTTTATATTTGTTTTTGGACGTTGCGATACAGCCATGTTTGCTCATATCATATTAAAAAACAAACTTGGAGTGTCTTCGGCCAATGTGAAGTACAGCCAACTCTGACGCACAATTATTTCTCAAAGGACCCGAAGAACGAAGAATCTGCCAGAAAGCTTGCAAATCATTGGAGGCAGTTGCCGAAGAGCATGCGGTTTTGGGCGGGGCTGAAACTAAGCGGCCTGGATAGGTGGTTTCGCTTGCCGAGGCTATTAGGATGTATTTCAGAGATATGTCAAGATCAGCAGGCTCCTTGAGAGGGAATTTCTGACTAAACAACTGCAACCCAAACAAATGAACACATCGGCAGGCAATACATCACAACCTTCCTCTCACTCACGTTTCTTGTGTATTGCCCAATGGTGATGCACAAAACAGTTCAGTGGACGTCCATAGAGTCGCTCCGAAACCCTGATCCTGGCATCACACTACCATCCCAGGAGAATTTCGCTGCTTTCCTCCCACAATGTTTTTCATGGAGCCCAAAAGAGGGGGTCCAATCCCCAAAATGAGTTTCTGGACAGGATCGATTTTGGAGGCCCATCACAATGATTTTCATGGAGCCCAAAAAAGGGTCCAATCCCCAAAATGAGTTTATGGACCCATCAGGGTAAGGTCAAGCTTCATCCATCAATCCGATCCTGGAATCCTTCCAGCTGGCCCAGTGCAGTGTCCCAACACTTGGGTCAAAATGCTGAGGCAAAAGGTTCAAGTGAGGTGGCTCTATACTCCATCTCAAGCCAGAATGCAGTGTCCATCTGCCAGTTCCCTCCTCCGCGTGTTCCCTGACTACCGTGGCAACGCATCTTGACACATCGACGAAGCATCGCTGGGGGTCCCGAGGGGATTTGTCTCATGCTGCCCCCCCCTCTTCTGTTCGCATAGGCCTCCCCAAA